CCAGCTCATCTGGACCTCCAGCTGGGCCCAGCTCGACCTCATCCTAAAAGCCTGTTTACGGTTCTAAGTGGCTCGGCTCTGACGGTGTCCTGGACTCGGCCTACCGGTCGTGTGGACTGGTACGATGTGACTCTGGAGGACACGAGCTCCGGATCCCGGCGCAGGACCAGAATCAAGGGCTCTGCAGCCTCACAAACCGGGTTCACCTCCCTGATTCCCGGGACTCTGTACAAAGTCAGTGTGGTAGCTTCAGCTGGGAACAAGAGCGCCTCACCTGTCCACGCAATGACAGCTACAGGTGAGCTACAACACCTCCAGAATCTTCTCATGTTCAAGTTTTATTATTGTACAGGTAGCAACAGCACATCACTACCAGCAATGAAGTTCTTACACTCAGAGGGATGATCAGAATGCACCTGATTGGCTGAGAGCTTATCACATGATCAATAATAATAAAAACATAGAGCTTTAAAAAGGAATAAAACTGTTCAAGAGCAGCTGATTCAGCGTGAAAGTGGTTTAAACAGAAAAACAGTGACCATCAAAGTGGTGTCAGTACCCTCTGATCTCTCCCTGCCTCAGCTCCCTCCTCAGTGGACGGCCTGCAGGTGGCGTCCTCTTCCTCACACAGCCTCGGAGTGACTTGGTGGATCGGCTCGGGCCGCATGGAGAACCTCAGGGTTCTGCTGAGGGATCGGGCTGGTGTTCTGCTGAAGAACATCACTCTGAAGAACAGCAGCACCTCGGCGGAGCTGGATGGTCTGCGCCCAGGGACCCCGTACACCATCACCGTGGTAACAGAAGCAGTCGGCCTTCAGAGCTCCGCCTCGACAGCATCCGTCACAGGTAGCGACAGCACTGACCCGTGTTTGAATCTGAGGTAATCTGAGTACAGGAGTGTTTCTAAAATACTAAAACACTCGATGGACGTGTGAACTGTGGATTTAGAGATTCGCCCTCATGTCCAGGTCTCTGAACCTTCACCCACTTTCTTCCTGCGTCCTAAAAAGCCGTTTGATGCTGTAGACGATGAAACAAAGATATCTGCAGAACAGGTTCTACTTCACCGTGCCATCTAAAATACAAATAACCTGCATTAAAAACACTGAGCTCAAAGCTCACCTAGATCTGAGTGTGGTTATCCCCAGAACACCACAAACTCCTCTGATCATCAGCAGGGAGCGAAAGGCGTTCACCTGGAGAGACCCGACGAGCACGTGTCAGTACAACAACACCTGCAGACAGATGTGAGCTACGA